TGAGGCTGGGCTGGCTCTGAGCCACATCCAAGAAAAAACCATCCCAGACTGCCCACCTGCCTGCAGCCTCTGTGCCAGTGCCACGGGCACGGAGGGAGCCAGCAGCCCAGCACGCCGCAAAGCCCATCTCCACCCCAACCTTCGAGAACTTGCATGAAGGCCACGTCTCCTGCCTCACACGGACAGGAGGCATCCCCCCGTCTCTCCCCACTGAGGGAGGGGCACGGTCCCATCCCGGCAGCTGACGTGGGCAGGGGGCTACCACGCGGCTTTTCACCCCGTACTGCTTCTCCCCAGGGAATGGCATCGCTGCCGGCACCACCCCGGCCCTGGCCATCCCTCCGCAAAGCCTGCGCCGCGCTGGCAGCCGCGCGGAGCCAGTGCCCGGCACACGGCCAGGCAGCGTGCCCGCGGCCACGGCCCATGCCAGCTTGTTTGTTCTCATTAAAGGTTAATGAGAAAGCCACGCTAAAGCCGCCCGAGCCGCGGGAGAGGCGTTCCCGGTGCCACGCAGAGCAAGGGGACATCCAGGCTTCCCTCACAGAGGGGTGACAGCCGGGCTGTGCCGCTTGCTGCTCGGCCCTGCCCTCACTGCCGGGGGATCCCCGTGGTAGCTGACACGCGGGTGAGCTGCCTGGCATGGCACCATCCCGGGCATCACCCCTGGTGAGACCAGCAGGAGCAGGCAGGAGGTGGGGTCAGGCATTCCAAAGGAGGCCAGAGGAGGACATGTGACATCAGCCATTCCCTCTGGGCACCTCACAGCACCCTGCAAGGCACTCAGCAGGGCTTGACAGTCCAGGGACACCTTGTCAAGGGAGGGCAGAGGAAAGGCACAAGTGGCGCCAGCAGCACCAGGGCCTGGGTGGTAATTGAGTTAAATGAATCCCTGGCCCTGGCCTGGCAGTGGATAGGGTGGGGATGCAAAGAAGGGGACATCCCCATGGCCACGCAGGGTGCTGGTGACCCCCTAGCTCAGGGGACTTCCCTCAATACTCACCACCCCGGCCCAGCTCAGCCAGCCAGGGCAGCTTCCTCCATCCCTCTGCAGCAGCAGGGATGTGGGTGTAATGCTCCAGGTGCACTCTTTTTGGGGGTGTCTCTTTATGTCCTCCTCTTGTGCCAGGCCTGGGGAGCTGCCCTGGGCATCCCCACCCCAACCACAACAGCTGAGCATGCAAACAAAATGCTCTGTGAGCAGCTGTGCTTGAACACATGTGTACAGCCACAGCCAGTCTGTGTGCAGGCAAAGGAAAAATTCAGACACTCCAGGAGGACATTCCCACTTCCCTGCCTGCCTTGGGATACAGGACCAGCTTCCCAGAGACCCCATGTCCCGCTAGCACTGAGTCCTAGGGGACTCAGCTTCTCCATGCTGGCCCTGGGACCAGCAGCACTGAGGCTGAGCCTGCCCAGCCCTGGAGAAGCCACTAGCCCCAGGATCACACTGTACAGATGGCACCAGCACCATAGGCCAAGTGATGAAGAAACTGTTTCAGGCTGTTCTGGACAAGTACTCCCCAGCCACAGACACCCTTGAGTGCCTGGGAACATGACAGGAGAGAGCACAGGCCAGCTTCAGTGGGTGGCAGAAGTCACAGCTGGCCAAAAAAGTTCAGGGAGATGAGTGCCAGCATATGTCAGCACCAGCCTGATGAGGGGACAAAGAGCTCCTGGCCATGGGGGAGACCTAGGAGTGGGCAGGAGGTGACAATTCTGGCAAGAAGACCCACCATCATGGCTTGAAGGAGAACCATGGTAAGTGACCAAGTGGCTTGTCCTGGGCTGGGACAGCTGGTCCTACAGCTGCAGGTGGTCACCCCCCCCCCCCCAGTGCTACAGCCGACCCCTTGGGCTTTACTTCTTGCTAAAACTGGAGAAGTCAGCTCCAAAAAATCCCGGGAGCCCAACACAGAGGGTTTTTCCACAGGGTAGATGCCCCGAGGGCTGGAGAGGAACCAGCCCTCGCGCCGAGCCAGGCTCTACCCACAGCCAGGCTGGCACCAGTGCCGCCGGCAGCACCCCTCGCAGGAGGGGCCGGGCACCCCGCATCCGGGCACTGGGGCGGCAGCAGACTGGAGCCCTCCCCCCTCGCTTCCTCACACGGTCCCCACACGGCAGCAGAAATAGAAGCGATATAAATGGCAGCCCTATAAATAACCCCAAAGCACGCGGCGGGGAGCTCGTCCCAGCCCAGCACTGGCCTCAGCCCACGCAAAGCCAAGGCTTGGGCCGCCTTCGCTGTGCCCCGGAGATCCCAAATGCCAGCTCCCTGCATGCCATGGGCCATGGGTCTGCCAGGGTCCTGTCCTTTAGGTCAGTGCCATGGCAGGAGCTCCAATGCATCCGTTGAGCCTCAGCTACGGGCACAAGCTGGAGCCCAGTCTGATGACATCTCTGCGGGGCATCCCTATGCCCATCCAGCTCCTCATGCCCAGTGGACAATGCCCACCTCAGGCACCCTGCTGCAACCCAGGCTGTGGATTCCTGGGCAAAGCAGGAGGCCAGGAGCCTCAGGCAAGGCTCGGGAGGAGACACTCCTGTCCCCACCACTGTGCTCACTGCAGATCAACAGTTGCACCCCAGCACCTCTCAGCTGCCCACCCTGACACCTCTCACCACTGGCCCCGTTCCCACGCTCAAACCCATCATGCCATGTCCTCCATGGGGGCTCAGCCACCACCACTCTAAGGATACCACCATGCCACCACAGCTGCTCTCCACCCAGGGGACCACAGTGATGCATCGGGGACCCCCACAAGCCGAGAGCAGGCAATGCCGCTGGTGACAGACTGGTGACAAGCCCTGCACTGCCGGATTTTGCACAGTGTCACAGACTCATGTCCCAGCCCTGCCCAGGGGACGTAGTGAGGCCACCAGCCAGGAGACAGGTCCTTGGCCAATATGGGGTTTGTAGGATGGCTGGGACTTCCCAATGCCCTTGGCAGTCTCCTCTGGGAATGTGGCAAGGGTAAAACCCGCTGAGGCTGTTTGCACGCCCTGGGATGGCCGGAGGTGCAGCAGGGAAAGGGTTAATGGTGCGAGGCCTTCCCAAGCACTTCTTGGCAGGCTGGGAAGGGCTGGGAGACAGGAGGATCGGGCCAGCAACAAAGCGAGATCTGTCTCATTAATTCCTCCGAGCATTCCTCCCTCCGTCACCCTGGAGGAGGAGGCAGCACCCAGCTGACATGGTGCACCCAGGTCCCTCCGGAGCCCCCCCCGGGTCCCGCCTGGGCGCAGGAGCGGCGTGGGGGGAGATGGGTGCAGCCTCTCCCACGGGATCCATGGCTCTGGCGTCCCGCAGGCGCTCGGGCACGGCCCTATATGGGCACGGGCAGCTTCCCCTCCGCCCGCCGTACCCCTGCCCATACTCCTGCCTGGCGTCCCAGGGGATTCGGGGCAGGACGCGGCTCATACCACCAGCGTCATCCCAAACCCGGGAGGGAAAGAGCGGCTGGAGGGGCTGATACACCCCGGACCGGGTCGGGGGGGCACTGGGTGACACTGGGGGTGCTGGACCTAATATCCCACTGTCAGTCGGCTCCTTCTCCGGCCACGGTGCCGGCCCTGCCGCGGGGTGCGGAGCTGCCCCCCAGCCCGCAGTGGGGCGGCGGAGCGGATCCCCGTGTCCGTGTCCCCATGCCCGTGTCCCCCTGCCCGTGTCCCCGTGTCCGTGTCCCCGTGTCCGTGTCCCCGTGCCCCCTCCCGCCGTGCCCGGACACCCCCTGCCCCGGGGCGCCCACCGGGGCGAGGGCAGCGGCGGCTCGGGCGGGCGGGCGGTGGCTTGCGGCGACGTGGCCCCCCCAAGGGTGTAGCCCTGCTAAAGCCACCAACCCCGCTCCCCCCGACCCCCCCGCGACCGCGGGGTGCGGAGCTGCGGGTGGCACTCACATGTCCCAGGAGAGGCGGGGGGCGAGGCGCGGGGCGAGAGCGGGCCTGGCTCGGTGCATCCCCTTTGTTCCACTCCCATGGACGGGAGCAAGCGGGGAGTTCGTGCAGGCTCTTGGCAGCGCCCACCCCGGCTCTCTCCATGGAAACGCGGGAGCCATGTGATTTCGGCAGGAAACCACGGCCCAGCCAGCGCCATTGGCGGCTGCATGGCCGGGAGCGCCTCCCTCCCCGAGGAGACCGCAGCCACCACCGCCACCATCGCCACTGACACCGCCACTGACACCGCCACCACCAACACCGCCCCTGCCACCGCCGCCGTGGCCCTGCGGGGGTCCCGGCCCTCCCGGACCACCAGCATCCCCCGAGGGTCCACCAGCTCCACCAAGAGTCAGAGCAGGATCCCACCTTCCCCGGGGCGAGGGGTGCGGGATCAGCCTGGCTTGCTTGGCCCTGGGCTCTTTGCCCTCCTGCGCGCACACAGTGCCCGCAGCTCCCCCCTCCCAGGGCAGCAATGGCTGGAGCCCCCCTCTCCTCCCTCAGCCCCTCTCTCCCTCCACGAGGGCCAGCACAGCCTCCCAAGCTTCAGCGCTCCCTGACAGCCCCCCTGACAGCTCTGCACTTCGTTGCAGAGCCCGGCAGCGAAGTGATGTGACCAAGGCTGTGCAGTTAGTCGGTGGGAGAGGGAACACCCAAACACCCTTAGTCCCAGCTCTCCAGTACCCAGCACCCCCCTGCACCTTCTGAGCCTGACTGAGCTGTGCTCAAACCTCTGCTGAGCAGCAAGCCTGCCCTGGGAGAGCAGAGTATTGGTGCTGACCCGCATTCCCCATCCCACCAGCCTCCAAGCTCCACTGGGAAGGAGCAGAGGAGTGCTCCCAGTGTCCCCAGCTAAGGGACAGGTGGCCACAGTGCAAATGCAGCCTGTCACCCCAGGGATGCCACAGTCACACGGTGCTGCTTCCACAACTGCCAGCGCCGATCCTAAACCTTGACACCTCTGAGCATCCCTGAAGGTGGAGAGAAGAGGAAGCCACACTTCCCCACCACGGTGCCTGTTGGGGGAATGCTCCCTGCTCCTCTCCTTTCTCCCAAGCCCATCTTTCTCCTACCTGTCCTAGATCCTGTTGAGTCGACCCAGTTTTAAATGGGACTGATGCCTCTGCAGCCCCAGTGAGACATCCTCCACGCAAGGACGAGACAGCACGGTGCTCCCGCCAGCCCTGTGAGGCAGAAACACTAATTAGACCATTGCCAGAGCTCAGCAGAGTAGGGCAATATCAGTGACAAAGAAATCATTGCACCACTGTCACTCTCCTGGGGCCACACTGAGGAGCAGAGCACTGCTGTCGAGGTTGCTAAGCAAGAACCAGGGCGTCCCAGCTCCCAGCCCAGTCCTCTGGGCTGGCCTGGTTACAGGGAAGGAGAAGTGATGCAAAGATGGGAGAGAGGACAGCAGGTCCTGAGGCCAACAGGGAAAAGCCAAACCAAAGGGCCAACGAGGAGAGGCAGCAAGGGTGGATCCACCCAGGCAGATGGTTGATCAGTCACAGAATGGTTTGGGTTGAAAGGGACTTTAAAGATCATCCTGTTTCAACCCCCCTGGCACGGGCAGGGACACCTTCTACTAGACCAGGTTGCTCCAAGCACCATCCAACCTGGTCTTGAACACTTGCAGGGATGGGACAGCCACAGCTTCTTTGGGCAATCTATGCCAGTGCCTCCTTCACCAGCCTCACAGGAAATAATTTCTTCCAAATATCCAATCTAACCAGAAGAAAGGAAGGAAAGAAGGAAGGAAGGAAGGAAGGAAGGAAGGAAGGAAGGAAGGAAGGAAGGAAGGAA